TGTCCACGCTGCTGCGCGCCTTCCCCGTCAACGCCGCCACCTTCGCCACCGTGACCATCGTGCTCACCTATGCACGTGGCCCCGAGGACCAGTCCGAGGACGAGGGTGTGCCCGCCGCCTCGGGGCCTGCGTTGGCCCAGCCCTCCAGCCTGTGAAGCTCCGCCCCCTTGACAGAGGGCGTGACCTCCCCGGGGCCACCTTTCATCCACCCAACATCAACATAAATCGGCCCACAGCCCAGACCGGAGGGCTGGGGACTCCATCAGATCTGGGCCCGGTGCCACTCATCAGCCGGGTTACCTTGGCCACAGCCTTGACTCCTCATTTTTCTCAGCTGTGAAGTGGGGATGCTCACACCCACGCTGTGCAGTCAGGAAGCTGGCCCTGTTACCTGGAAGCTTCCAGAAACCCAGCCAACACTCCAGTGCTTCCCTGGGATCCCACCCACCACCCAGGCTCTCCCGTGTCTGGGCTGCCCAGTGACACTCACTGCGCATCCTCCACCTGGCAGAGCTCCAGGCCCCTCTTGGCCACCTGTCCAGGCTCTATGATGAGGACAGGCAGCCCCGGTGCCTCCTGGTATCAGAACTGAACCTCTCCTAGTGCACCCCAGCTTCTCCACATGGCACTGCCGGGGGTACCCCTGCTGCTTCCACTCCCAGTGGAGGCTGACCTGGGACCGCCGAAAGGCCATGGGATTTGCTGGAGGCTCCGTATCCTCCATAGTTTTAAACACAGCCAGGGGGAGGGGAAGTCTTGTACCCTCTGGGGTTCAGGCTGCCCATCTATAAAATGGGGACACGGGTCGGCTGATATCTGGAACTCTGGCCCACTACCCCCGGCCAGGGTTTCCAAAGGCGAGTGGAGGGGTGGAGAGGGAGATAGTATGGGCCCCCCACCCCACCCCCCTTCTCCAGCAAATCATGTCTTTCCTGGGCAAGCTCCTTGGTGCCTGGTGTTCCTGTGAGGTGGGAGGGCCCATTAGTGGGCATGGCTGTGGCCAGTTTGGGCCCCTCCGGGTTGAGGGGGAGCTGAGCCCACACTCTGGGGCTTCCACTCGAAGCTAGGGTTGCGGTGGGAACTCGGGGTAGCCCCGGCACATCCAGTACCATGTGGCCATGTGACCAGCTGGGGAGGTGGATGGTTCTGCATAGAGGAAGGTGCCTGTGGCCTCCTTTGCCCTGAGTGGGCTCAGCCTCTTGGGCAGTGTGCCAAGCTCTCCCAGGAGGCCCTGTGGGCGAGGAAGACAGGACTCCCACCCTGTGCATGGGTGTCACTGGTATTAAAGTTATTTGTTTTTTAAGATCAAGGCTTCGTTTGTGTATCACAGAAGGAGCTTCATTCCACACCCTCCCCGGAGTGAGAGGGGCCGGCTCGGTGGTCTGCACCCTCCGGCCCTGATGGCAGCCCCAGCTGTGTGACCTGGGGTCGGCTTTGGGACACGTCTTAGACCCTCAGTTTCCTGGTCTGCAAAATGGGGCTAACAGGCATGAGGATCGAGTGAGCACAGCTCAGACCTGCTGGGCGAGGGCTGGGCGTTCAGCAGGAGCTCCCCGGGTGTCTGGCTACCCCAGCGACAGGAGGCCTGGCCCTCGTCCTCCCGCTGGGCGGGGCTGGCAGCACGAGCTGTGAGCTCTCCGGGAGGACCCAGCTGTGCTCAGGTCAGACATGGCCGCTGGCAGGAGGGTGAGTGGAACTGCCCAGCCGAGATTAGACCTAACCCAGCCGAAGAGGTTCCTGGGGGCACCTCGAGGAGGCCGTGGGTGCCCACCCCCACTTCTCAGCCTCTTGAGGTCAATCCTTGACACCCTGTGTCTCCCAAGCTACCAGCCTGGATGGAGGCTCTTTCCTTCCCAACTGCTGAGCCAAAAAGCTGCCCGC